TCGCGAGGCAGACGTCCGACGTTGTTTCGTGGTCGTCGCGACTTACGGTCGGTCGACGTGGTCGACGTGGTCGTCGCTCTTAAGGTTTTTGAATGAGATCATCATTGTATACAACCAATATTTCAACGAATCATTTGGGGATGGGATGGGTGTACGATATATGTGTGTTTTTGTTTTTCAGTTGCTTGTGGTTTTATTGATAGGAAGGTCGGAGGATCCAAGGAAATGCTGCCTTGGTATTCCTCCACATGCCCTTGAAGGGTTTGAGTCAAAAGCATGTTAACAAAACAACATGCATTTGAGATTTGAGTCAAGAGTGCCTGAGAAGGATGTCAGTATCCCTCTATTCAAGCAATGCTACGTGCAAGGTAGACTTGCTGCAAAGGCATATATTGGGATACTATGGGCAATACATATAGCACATAAGATTGATTACAATATATCACAATTATCGATATGCTGCGACGAGGGCCCAAGCCAATCGTGCCGTGTGGAACCCATTGTGCCCGTCATTTCCCTCCTAAAGGGGCGGTGAAGTTTGCCAGACTGACTTTAAGTGTGGAATAGGCCGACCCAGTTGCAGACCCCCTTCCACCCTGATGCGGCGACGACGGGTGTTTTTTCCCAGTTCCTCGACCCCGGCGAAATCCCATCCGTCCGGTCGTCCATGGTCGTCCGACCGCGTTTGGCGTCGCCCTTGGGCGCCGTTCCGCAGGGGATGAGCTGCAGCAGTGGGACACCCAGCTGTTTCGCTCGGGCGGGAAATGGACGATCCGAGTGAAACAGCCCTGTGAGAAGGGTGAAAAAACTCTCCAGTGAATTGGATGTGGTTTCAGAATAGATGGCACAATCCCCAAGTTGGGTGGTTTATATGGATCCCCATCTAAAAGACATCTTCGGGTTTGTGCCATTTACTCTGAAACCACTGGGGTGAAACATGGTGAAACAATGCACCTCTGCGGGTTTTACAGCTCCAAGGACGAGGTTTCGGCCCCATGTAACATGCCACTCCAGAGCTGAAAGGACTGCGGGAAGGTTTTTCTGTGACATCTCTGGCAGCGGGCAGTACCTCTTCTTGGCTTCGGAGTTTATACTAACATCACCAGATCTACAATAATCTCTATTGTAGTGTAGGGTGTATTCTTCATTTTCGGCAAAGCTTCCTTCACGCAAGCTAAGTCCCACCAGATGTCTATAGGCATGGGCGTCGAACACAGATCTCGCAAAGGAAGGAGGCTGCATACATGGTCTAAGCCTATGACATATATGCTCCAAGAGCTAATGACATGTGTCTCCACAAATCCCGTCGTACCTTCGAATGTACGTGGAACCTCCTGACGCCTTGCCTTATGTTTCTCAACTCATCCTTTCAGAGGGTAGCAGTGGATCCATAGGACGTGTGTAGACTTTGAGCGAGTGGAATTTGCACAGCAGGTCGTGCTACGCTGCTTGAGAACATTGAAGCCTACCTTGTGCAGGCGGATAGTTGAGTTGAGTTGGATGACCGATGGATGACCGATGACCCACTGACGACATCGGAAGTAGATGGATGACATGGCCTCAAACAGGGTGGTCTCCACCGAGCCATGTGATCTGTTCGTCGGAGTGTAAACGTGTCATGAAACACACCTCACACACACGAATCTTGCGATCAAGTCTATCCACGCCTCGACATCCCTGGCTTGTTTAATGCGTTTTCTTTTAAAGCTGGTATGGAGGTAGGCTATCAAGGATCCTCACATCAGTGAAGTTGCTGGGTTCCACTGCTTCGTATCCGCTTTGATCGGCAAATGCCAGGCCCAGAACGGAGCTGGTTGAGCTCTGAAGCAAGCCATTATCCCACCCATTCTGTGGATAACCTTTAACCTTTTTAGGCGATTGGTATCCCACGAAAATAAGAGCAAGGTGGAAAAGGTTACTGTAACCTTTAGGAAACTGTGGGAGTCAATTATAGGATGGTTCGATTGTTGAAGTGTCTTCGCGCGATGTTTGTTTCTCGCTATACCCATAATTATGACATGAAGCACTGACAATCGGAGTGCGAAACAATCAAAGATTATGGATCTTTGGTGAATTCGCATTCACTTAGTGCAAAGAACCAATATCTAAAATAGCTGATCGATTGCTTGCTTGCTTGCTTGCTTGCTTGCTTGAGTGAGAGAGTGAGTGAGTGAGTGAGTGAGTGAGTGTTTTTGGTAACCGCGCCCCTAAGGGGCCATGCGTAAACTGCAAGTTTTTTTCAGCTTTCGTGGCTTTGATGTCACTTGCACTATTGACGTCACTTGTACTTGCAGACATACTTGATGCTAGGCCATGGATGGGGAGCGAAAGTATCCTTGGCCAGAGAGGTGTAGTATATAATTCTTGTGTTCCTATACTGTAGGTCTTTAAAGGTCAGGAGTTTTTGGTTTCTTGTTTCAAGCTGTCGCAAAACATCTAAAAACGTACATTCCGAGCAACCCCTTCAGCACTTTCTTTCACCTCCTCCCGAACAACACTCTCGGTCCAAAAACCTCACGAAAGTGGGACAATATACACTTGCTGGAAAATTAATGCACGTTGTAAAAGAACTCACAAGCGCACGCCCCTTAGGGGCGCAGTTACCTTTATTTTTGGTGTTTGTTTTGGGGATGTAGAATGTATGTCCTCCCAACTTAACTGCTCAAGTTCCTCGCTCTTCTTCCAGCACGGTGAATATGACACTGCAGGACTTGCAAGCGCTTGGAAAGCCTTGGCCTCAGCGCTCGACTTCATCCTTGGTTTTGCAGATTCGTATAGGTCCAGGATCATATCCATTCAACCATATACCTCCAGTCTCCTCAGCGCTCCTGGAACAAACAATGGTACTATATGCTCGCACTACTGGAACCTTGGAACCATTCCAACCAATGGTACTTCTTCCACCTCCAGGTCTCTGAGTCTCTCCTTTCTCCCTGTGAGTGGTCTTTGGCGAAAGCCGGGTCCACAGTCTCGTTTTCTGGTTCACTTGGACACAGGGAAGAACTTATCACATCCCCGGACACTCCATAAAACTGGAATATGATAGTGTTGAGTCTCTAGGGAGGGTTGGGTGCATGTCGACATCCTACATTCACCAGCCTGAAACAACCACCTCAAATGTAGTGAAGTCTTTGGGATTTGTGAAAGCCCGACCTGTTTCCGTTGGGAACACCAACCCCCGACTCGCGCGACGCGAAGACCGAAGACCGAAGACCCTTCCCAGGTCGAAGATCCTTCCGAAGCGAGGCCTCTCCGAAAATCGAGATAAGTTGTGGTAACTTTGTTTTTCAACACATCTAGAGGCACAGAACGGAGTGATATGATGGATCTGGTGGCAGAAAGTGGCACTGTGGGTATCCATCAGCTTTTAAACAGAGCTCAGATCTATATAGTTCGGTGTGTGTGTGTTTAATAGGAAGACCCCTAACCAAGGAGTTTTGGTCTATGTTCCTTCTTCCAGGCTATTTTTTGGGGGGGAGAGGTTTCCCTAGTTGAGCTACACTTCCAGTGCGATTCCTGCAGTTAGCCACTAGGGCTCTTGGGCCAGGCAGCTTCGACATGGAAAGAGACATGAACAGATATGAACAAGTATTCAATAAATACCATGTCAAGCTATCATACCAACGCTGCAGCCAAAGCTGTAGGAGAGAGAAAGCCGCTATGAAGCCGCCTCTTGCGGCTCTTGGAACTCTTGTAATTGAAGGAAAGGCACGGAGAGAAACATTGGGTTATATTACCCAGGCTCTGTGACATATTCGAGGCAACTTCTGAGAAGAGCAAGTATCATTTTGGCATCCTATATACCCTACCCGACATTTGCACTGCAACCAATCGTACAAGAACTTACCATCCTTTGTGAAGGATCACAAGCAACATATGAACGATAGAACATGAAAGAAACATAATATCATAGACATTAATAGACGATTTGTTTTCGTGTTTGTGCCACTTGCCACCAGCAACTCACAACACCTGTGGTGAGCACATGAGAGCTGACGCAACGCCATGACGCAGCGCCACGACCTCCTTCTCGGATCCTTCATCGGTGATGTGTAGAATCGCTAGAGCTGATGGAGGAGCCGCAGGGAGCACGTCGCACGTTTGCCGTGTTCTTTTCCAGCTGACAGCTGACTGAGTTAGATACAGTATGTTTTGCTGCTTGTTTGTCTCCTTCTTTGTTTCTTTTTTTTGAGATGTCTAGATCATTAATTGTGTTGGTTCCGGTATTTTAATTATGTTTATCACGTTTGCAGGTGACAAGCTTGTAAGATTCATATTTTTGGGGGAGTAGCTGAAGCATCTATACAACATGCCAACATTTGGGTTGTTTAATGTTCTGTCCGACATTTGTCCGGACCTACAGATGCAGATTTCTTATACATACTCTGAGACTGGAAGCATTTGGAAGCGTGTTGAGGGGTATAGAACCTTTGCGTTTGGTGCGGGACCCGCAGCCCTTCGTCTAGCTTTTTGCGTTGCTTCTACCATGAGGTCGACCTGCAAAATGTATCCCTATTCTAATACTCCCTTGCAGAGGACCACATGGAACCCTAAAACCACTTGGTTGTTGAGGAAGATGGTCGAAACCATAGGCCAATTCTCAGGTTCCATGGGATCGTTTGTGGGGGGGTATAGAATTGCACCAAGACATACCAAGACCCCAGCCACTGAGACCCGACCCGTGCCGCCACCCCCAGGACCAGGAAGAACGCGCGGCTGCCCCAAGGAGGAGGACTGTCGCAGTGCGAAGAGAAACCGAAGGAACAACTGGACATAGACATACACAGACCCATGGCTATAAGAAGCATGTACAAAAAGAGTTGTTTCGGGGAGCTGCGCACGTTTTTCTGCGCCAGGTCCCACATCGTTTGTTGTCGTTGTGTAGCACCCCAAGGAGACTAGAGAGTAACACGGATCGATCTACATGAAACTACCAAGTCGAGCGACCTGGGAACAGGAACAAGCTCTTGAGCGTTTGTTCCTTCATCCTGGTGGTCGAGATGTGCGAACGTCTTTGCTATTACACCCTGCAAGGCGCGTGCCGTGAGTGCTGGAAGCGGCGGCCGCGAAGCCGACGGCAGCGCAGTTGTTCATGTCGAGCACCAGAGAAAACATTGTGACGCACACGTGGAAAAATCATGGAAAGGATCGACTCCCAGGCGGGTATGTTCAGTAATTTATTCTTCAGGAAAGGGGCGTTGAACTTAGAACTTCAGGCCTTAATTCAGCTGAAAAGCAGCTTATTGAGAAAGACATGAAGACTTTGTTGCTCCTGATCGTGTTATGTTTTACATTTGGTTGTTCCGATGTGTCCGGCAGCCGCAGGGCTTTGATCTATCTGAGCCCAGTTTGAGAGGATAGGGTCAGAAAAAAAAAACGCCTTAAGAGCCAATGGATTCTTAATCGATGCGCTGGCTGGTGGGAGAGCAAGCCCAGTTGTACTATAGAACTGCACATATAGACGTAGAACTAAAATGAACTAAACATAACTAAACTAAATTTGACAAAAGAAAGAGATCCAAATGCTCTTGCGGGGAGTGATAATGCATTGTAGTTGAACATGTTGTTTTTGTTTTTCATATCGTTCCAACTGAACAACTGTTTATATAAGTAGTACTTCTTTCGTCTTTAGGACGCCAAGCTGCTCGTAGCGGCTCAAAGCGCAGCTATTGCATGACATCGACAAGTCATGGCTTAAGGGAAGTTTGGCTCCAGTAGGGCTGTGGCTTTGTGCACATGTCAAAGTGCCAACTACCAAAATTCACAATTCAAATTTTAAACCGAAATCGCCCTCTCATCTCACTTCCGTAGCCATTAGTCAGCAAAAAGCTGGAGAACCCAACCCATGGCATGGGATGGAAATCGCGTTCCCACCGACGGAGAAGAAAGCAAGTCACTGTTTCGCACAGCCCAGATCGGGGTGCGCCTCGAACCACGCCCTCAGTGGTCAGTGCATCATCATGAAACTTGGGACACTCGAATGGTGTCATTCAAGGCAACCCGAGTGGCAGCCTTGCAGCCAAGTGGATCACCTGCCAGAGGGAAACGATCAATCTGAATGCAAAGTACCGAGGAAATGAGAAACGCAGAAACCATCCCTGAGTGCCTGTGTTCGTAACCAACTCTTGCAGAGTGCAGCTAGCTGCAGCTAGCAGAATCACCGTCAGCCCAGCTCTCGCGCATTTTTGTTTCACCAGCCCGCTTTCTCGTTGATCTCGCTTTCCCCCCACAACCCATGGTGAACTGCATCATCAGCCAAGGAAAGAAGAAAGGTCACAAATTCAACCACAACACTCTGCTGTTCACCAGTCAAGGCTTCGAAATGAAAAGGCAAGAATCGGCGTTGGATGGGACCCCGGTGTGTGAGATCTATCCATCTCTTAGCTTGGCCTCTTGACATCTTCCACGCTCAGCTCATTTGGTGAGAGGCTCCCAGCGGAACTACTTGGAGGACTCAGGCCGAGGAGGAGTGCAGACACGCTCAGTCTGACAGGGGAGTGGGAGCTCAAGAACGACCCGTGCTTTATGGGTGCTTTATGATTTTTGTGGAACCCCCTTAATCTGTATTGTTTTATGGACACCTCCTAAGCTTTTGTTTTCTTATTCACTGCTATGAATATAACGGTACAGCTAGTGGGTTTCTGGTGGATTTGCCCCAAAGGTTGACCTGTCGCTGGAGGTGATTTCCTGCCGTTCGACGCGTTCACCATTCTTGGGCACGCTTGCCGTTCGACACATTGCTCAAGCGTCATGTTGCAGACTCACAGTTTCCCTCTTGGTGCCCTCTTCGTCATGCCGGGAGTCACTTCAGCCGGCGACGAGCGGTCGACACCCCCTCGCCGTCGGCGTGACGAAGCCGACATACGACGTTTGCTTCAGTGGTCCACATTCACCGGTCCACGGTCCAATTCTTGCGTCCATCTATGGAGGCAATGCCAACATCTTAGCGACATCTGGGGCGGAACAAAGTGGCGACGAAAGTAGGGAATGACCTCACAAGTCTCAGAATGAGTTTCAAGCCCAAAACCAGGAAACAGATAGTTTTGGAGGTGAACACCATGCTATGATGTAGTTGTATTGTAATTGTTGTTGTTTATTTCCATGCTTAGCCAATTAATTTGAACAAAGAGATTCCTTTAAAACAGGTTCCCACCCTGCTTGCCCGTCCGGTGCGGCACACAGGAGCCACCCGTGGAATGCAGGCGTTATCGTACGGGGGGTGCAGCCTAGCAGGGCTTTTGGTTGGGGTGAACAAGGGGCTGAAACAGGGCTGATGGAAATGGGTCATGATAGCAACAAATTGGGCATACACGGTCTTACATGTCTGGAAAGACACCTTTTTGGTTTGGGTTGATACATGATCTTAAATGGAAACTGGGTCGGACCTGCAAGCTTTTGGTATTCGGAACATGTGAAGTGTCCGGGTGAGTTAACTGTAACTATAGTTAAATATTGTTGCTACATAGGTGGCTGAGTCAAGCAGACACAGAGAGTTCACTGAACACACCATTCACCTGGATGCTCCAAGGAAGATTAAACCCATGAGAAATCCAGGTGAAAACGCCTGGGACGCCTGGGAGGTTCACACTTCCAGGTGAACTGGCAATCAAACGTGTCAGCCCCAGATTGACCAGTTCTACAAGCGGTCATAAATGCGTCCTACAAGAGTGTCCCGCAAGAGTGTCCTAGGAGAGTGTCTCGCAAGAGTGTACCACAAGAGTGTCATACACAAAAGTGTCCCACAAGAGTGTCCGACAAGAGTGTCCCACAATAGTGTCCCACAAGACTTTTCCACAAGAGTGTCCCGCAAGAGTGGCCGACAAGACTGTCCTACGCCCTATAGAAGTGTCCTACAACCTCCTGCTTCTGATGCTGCTGCTCCTTCTCTTGTTGGCTGCAGATCTGACCCTGTTGCTACTCACGCTGTTCTTCCTTTTGCTTCTGCTCCTGACGGTCCTCGTCCTTCAGCCACTGCTGCTGCTGCTCTATGTGATTCTCTTCTTCTTTTGTCTTTGCCTCTCCTGTTGTTGCGCTCCGTCCTGCTTTTGTTGCTTTTGCTGCTCCTGGCCCTTTTTCTGTTGCCCGTGCTGCTGCTTTTACTGCCTCGCTGCTGCCTACTGCTGACTCAGCTGCTGTGTCCATATGCTGCTGTTGCTGCTGCTCCAAGTCCTGCTTCTTGCATACATGTACCACTACTACTGTTTCTATATCTCGTGTCTGTTAGCTTACCCGCGCTGCCGTGCTGAGAACACATTACGGGTCTTGCATGCACGGCTTCCACTCTTCTGTATTCATTGGACAAAGCTCCCTCCCAAAGCTGGCAAGAATATGTTGGTGACGTTTAGGTCCGGTTTTTTTCTCAAGGATGTGGTATCATTGCGAGGACGCTCGTACTTGACATTCAGCATATAAAGGCAAAACTTTTGGCGCTTGACAATCGAGTGCAGGCTTCCCTGCAGGAATCGACTCGTCAGATCAAAAAGATCCATATCGACGAGTCGGTGTGAAATCGACAAAAGATTGAAATCCGTGTGAACAGTCGCTTCGCCATAAAGCAAACCAGACACCTTGATGATGCTTTGAAGACGAGCTTTTCTGCACAGACAGAGACACGTATGTTTTTCTTTTGTCCCATGTGCGGCAGCGGCAATTGCCTCTTGCCTTCGCCAAAAGTTGTGCAGGCTGCCGTGGTCAACCTGGAGTCATGGGCACTTTCAACCATGTCTTCAGATGCTGGCCCCACGGGTTGGATGCTGGGGACCCTACCCATTTTGATGTTTTTTGCCGTGGTGATTCGCGCAGGAGTTACGGAGCTATTTGCAGTCCTTTGGTGGACGCTCTGCTGCGGCCAGTCATGACAAGGCTATGAAGCAGTGGTGACGCTCTTTGAGCTGGTATGACTTCTACATGGATGATGCCGAGATTGACACCATCGCAGACCAAGTCGCACAAGAGTGTCCCACAACAGTGTCCGGCAAGAATGTCCAGTGTCCGACAAGAGTGTCCTGTATACAAGAGTGTCCCACAAGAGTGTCCGGCAAGAGTGTCCCTCAAGAGTGTCGTACAGGAGGGTCCCACGAGAGTGTCCCGCAGGAGTGCACCACAAGAGTGTCCCACAAGAGTGTCCCTCAGAAGTGGCAACTTGCAGCGCAAATGTGATGTGTGGGAAGCAGCTCCTGGGAGCTGTGGCCTCAGGACAGGCCACTTGGTAGTGCAAATGTAGTACGGGAACAAATGTAGCTTCTGAGAGCTGTGGCCTCAGAACTGGCCACTTGATAGTGCAAATGTAGCGCGGCAAGCAGCAGGTTGTGGGAGCTGTAGAACTGGCAGCTTTGTAGTGCACATGTAGTACGGGAAGCATCTTCTGTGGCCAAATTACATTTGAGTACGTGAGTGTCGTGCGAGAGTGTTGCACAAGAGTCCACAAGAGTGTCTTTCAAGAGTGTCCCACAAGAGTGTCCTACAAGAGTGTCCTGCAAGAGTGTCTCACAGAGTGACAAAAGTATCGCACGAGAGTGTCCCACAAGAGCATTCTTACAAGAGTGTCAATATATATGTTTGGCCGCTGGTTTTTGAGTACATGTTTCCATTCGGGTTTGTGGGTTCCATCTTGTGTGTCTTTTCCGCACCTAAACAACTAGCAACAGCCGGGCCGTGCTTCGGCGCGGCTGGATGTGGGGATGTTGAATTGCCACGTGCCCCATCCAGGCGTCAGTGGCATTCTCCGTCTCAGCTTGTTGGAGCATGGCGCCTTGGGAGGACTTAGGGCCGCACCTGTGAAATAAGTGGGACAGGGCCTACATCAGCGAAGGAGGCGGCCATGTCCTTAAACATGCCTAGCAAACAGCCTTATAAGCTTGAAACAATTGTTGCAGGCTAGAGCTGGAAGATCTACGCAACATGAAAAAACCGGGCGTTTGGAGGCTGAACATTGGGTTGTTTGACGGACAACTAGATGAAATTGGAGATGTTTTTGATGTTGTTCTAGGGGGTCATGTCAAACTGGGCAGTTCTGAAACACATGTTTTCAGAAACTTAGGCTAAACCAGGCGAAAAAATGTAAATGATTTTTCTGGAAAATCCAGTGGTATCCGGTATTTGGGTTGTTTTCCGTTCAATTCCAATCAGAAAGACTATGCCGTTTTCTTCAATTGTACAGCACTCCTGTTTGCTTGGTAGTCAACCAAATTGGCAATTGAACACATTGTTTCAAAATGCAATCTAATGTTTTTAACGTTCGGTTTCATTTGCCTTGCATCCCAAGTTTCTGTGCGCTACCATGGTTACCAAACATGGATGTTTAGGGATTTGTGCCATTTGATCAGGGCCCCTCCATCCAACGCAAACGGATTGACCAGAGATAACTCACCTCTTCCGCCGGCACCGAACTCCAAGCAGCAATGTCAGGTATCCTACATGTCCTGCATGCTGGGAGGCTATCTCGCTGACAACCGCCTGGGTCGCTACAGGAGTGTCCGCGCTTGTGTTGTTCTTGTTTTGAGAGTTTCATCAAATAAACACAAGTTCTGCTGGGCATATTCCGGATGTGGAATGAATTCATAGAGTTTCGGCTCTGCAAGAGAGAGTTCGGTGCAAGATCCAGGGGCCAGAATCACCTCAAGGCTTCCCTGCGGTTGGTTGGGATTTTGTTTTTTGGCCTTTAAGAATATTAAACCCAAGCAGCCAGCACTAAGTCACTAAGGGAAGACGCAGGGTTTCTGACACTGTTCATCCTCCTAGAGCTGGAAACCTCATCGTTTTCAGAGGTTGCTTTCGGAATCTTTTTGATAAGTTGAGAGTTTATGTCCTTTGCTTGCACTCCCTACCCCTGTTGGACATCAACATGGTGCGGTTGTGTGTAGTCTTGAGACTCGTTCGTGTATGGCCTTGTTTTTGCTGAGAAACGTTTGCCCTGGACAACTGGACAGAACTTGTAAGCGATGGTCCACCCCATACTATAAAACATCTTATGCAATGCGCTGCAAGTGGAGACAACCCAGGAGGCTTGGCATCCAGAAGTCCACCGCGGTTTCCTTTTTTTTTTTGGGTGGGAAAGCAGGTTCAACTTCGATCCGGATCAACTTGGTCCATTCGGACCGACTCCCAATAGTTTCGTAGAATCTGAAGATGTCAGATGTGAAACGAATCTTCAGATGCCTTCTACATGATGTAACGAATCCTCCATGGATCTGGAAATGATCTTCACGGCCCTTTCTTTTCTCACCAAACCACACCAAACCACATGACTCCATGACCGCGCCTAACCGGAAGTCCGCCAGAGTCATTTTGGGGGACGACTCCTCCAGGGGAGAAACCACGGAGGACGATCCTTTACTTCGCCGTGGTCTACCTGCTGGGTGTGGCGCTAGTGGCGCTGGCAGCAGTGCCCAGCATCATGGCCTCGGCTGGGGGTGTGCCGCTCTACCTGCGTCTGGGACCTGCAATAGGAACGTCCAGTTGGTCGGATTACTTGGACCATTTGGACTTCGTCAGCCAACATTTCGGTGAATTCTGCCGCGATTCACTGCTGGATCTGAGGTTGGATCTTCGGTTCTAGGGGGAGAACAACCTTTGGTATATAATATAAACTGTCCAACAAGGTCTTTGTGTGTGTGCGCCCATTTTTTGTTTGCGGACGCAGCTAATCAGCGTTTGCGATCGTTCGCGTGTCCATCTGTCGTGTTTTGTTCAGACACTCCACCTATATTTACCGGTTTTTGAACAGGTGTCCATGTCAGTCCATCTTCCAGTGTCATTCCAGTCCAGAGCGTCTAGGATTGCGATCTCGCCCCCTTCTCACCAGCTCTTCTCGGCTCTTCTCAGCCCGGCGAACGCGCGTCCTCTTGGACCGCACGCGGGAACCAGCGTCGTTGGACCAGGCTGGGGGCCTTTGTGTTTGTGGCCTTGGGTACTGGAGCGATCAAGCCCAACGTGATGAACTTCGGGGCGGATCAGTACGACACCGAGGAGCCGTGGAGCGACCCGCCGATCTGGGGAGTTTGGGGGGGGCTGAGGTGGAAGGTGTGCTGCGGGAAATAGCAGGAATGGGTCTACAGGAGTGTCTACAGGTGCATTTGGCAGCGTTTGGCAGAAGTGTGAGGCTACAACAGTTATTGAGCCATGTTTCGATGGCCTTTGGTTGATAAATCGAGGAGAAGCAGTAGGTTATATACATGCATGGTAGTTATAGCATGTTATAACAAACATGATACCTGGCACTGAGCCCCTATTCTCAGGCCGCAGAGTGAGACGGAATGAACCAGGACGTTTTGGAAGGACGCCGTGGGGGACATGGGGAACCGATGGATCGAATCGGCCCAGGTCGGTAGGTTTGAAGCTTTGAAGTTCACACCTGTCGCGGTGGTTCTTTTTACCTTCCGCATTCCCCGTGTTTCACACAGCTGAGCTCTGGACTCTTTGGGACTTTGCAGTTTTGACGGTTTTTGCTCAGAGAACCTCTGAGACGGAACATATATCAAGACAGACTCGTTCTGAACAGAGCTTTTTCGATCGTTGCCAGGATGCAGAAGAGCTGGTGCAGCAAAAGGCCTTCTTTTCCTATTTCTATTTGACCATCAACATCGGATGCTCGGATAGAGACACAAATATCACGTGGGGCCTTTGAACGCCGAGATGGAAGCGGAAAAAATACAAAACCATGATTGATTTCACAACGAAGGTATTTGTCTCGTTCCTGTATTGGATGTTGCGCAATAAGAGCTCGTGGCTCATATCCCAAGACATACTGTAGTGGTTTCATGTGGTTTCTATGAGGGCTCGCCCAAAATAGCCGGACCTGGGATTTTGCGAGAGGTTTCCTGGGTAGGAAACTCAGCCCTGAACTGCCATCTGGCGAACCAATGCCACTATTTTTGCAAAGAGTAACATCACCATCTGGATCCATTGGGAGGTCTTTAAGGGGGTACGGAGTATTGAGGATGCCTATGCCTAGGGATGCATTGTCAGCATCGCTTCCCTCAAATTCCAGACGCATTCAGCATTTTCCACTTCCAGCTCTCATACTGCATGGTTCATTTCTGACAAGCACATCTCACATTAATCGGGAAGATGTATTTTTTGTGGACTATGTGACAATGTGGTGGGATACAACTTACCAGCTTGCCTCGTGCCGAAACAGGTAGACCAATGTCGCACCCCAACGGCGCCAACGGCTTCGCCCTTCACCCAGGAGTGGTCTTTGCGATGGGCTTCACTGTGCCTTGGACGTGTGATTTTGGGCTTCAAAGCTCTCTGGACTGATGGACTGTGCGAAATGATGCTTCAGGTCCACCTGGCAGGTTCCACCCAGCTTTCCATGGGCTTTCCATGTGTTTCCTTTTTTTTTTGAATGTGCTGCTCATCCATGGACATCGAGAGGTTAACCTTGAAGAATGGTTCATCCAGGCATGGCCGGCTCGACGGCCCGGTTTGGAAGAGCTGAGCTGTGCCATGAACACGTGAAATGAACAGCCCATAGGCCCAGTTCTGAGGCCCTAGGATGAAACAAAAGGCAGCAATTGCAAAAACCAGCTGAGACGAGTTCGTTCATTCTTCCATGAACCGAGTCTAGCCGGATCTGGGATCCACGGGGAGAACGTGGCGTTCACATCCACGAAGACGGAGGTCGGAGGTCGAAGGTCAAGTCGAGGGCGGCCCCTGGACAGCTTGGCCCCTGGTAGTTAGACATCTTCGCGCTTTCTTTGAGAAGATGTTGGGTCTCCCAGAAGTGGGGTCAGTGGGGTCAAAGAGGGGATCAAGTTGGAGATATCGAGCTGGTCACATTTCCAAGATACAGGCAGCTGTGGAAAGTGGAGGACCGTGAAAGCTGAAGAAGGAAGTCCAAAAATTCTCAGGAGAGGACGCTGGTGATTAGCTAAGAGTATTCCGAAGTCAGAACATTGAGAGCCACTGCTTAAACTTGGAGCTGGACTTTTTCCTGTTGAAGGTCAGTTAGATATTGGATATTCCGAAGGCCTTGCTGGACGTCTCCTTCGAGCCACCTCCACGTCGCCCACCCGTTGTCCGGCGCCGTCCAAGGTGAACTTGGCCACCAGCGGGTCATCTGAGGCCTCGGCTGGCACAGGCCGCCCCGGTCGTTCCAGCTGGTCCGTAACAAAGGATCAACAACAGGTCATGTATACGCTTGATCAATGAACCCACCATATCCAAGAGGTTGTTCAATCCAAATGTTTTTTTTAAATCAAGAGTCTATATACAAAATATTAGATTCTTAGATTAGATAGGCTGTGAGCACGAGTGGAGTGAAGACTTGGATAGAAGTGTTCCAAATGCCAGACATTTCCATTGGTTGCCTTCTTTGTTACTTAGGTGGATGTGGATTTAAACCTAGCAAGAAGCACGGAACCACTACTTTGAACCCCCTGGAACTATGACCAGTCTTTTTTTTCTCAAATTACCGTATCAAACACTGCAACACATCCGCAACCGAAGCTGTTGGTGTTGCTCACATTGTGGGGGTTCATACCACTTGGAAAGCCCATCTTCATACCATTTGAAGCTTGGGTGGCTTTAAATCAGTTCTTCCATCATGACATTTGATGAACTGAAGAATCCTTGTGGCGCTTTCAGGATATTTGAAAGCCTATTGCATCGCTGCTGGCGCCATGCTCATAGCCCTTCTTTGCTTCGCACTGGGCACGCCCAGGCGAGAGTGTTTGCAACGAACAGCGAGAGTGAGTGTTTGCAACGGACTGGCCTGCAAAGCAACACATCAAGCATTTACCGGTTGTTTTGGACTACAATGAAAAAGAAACAACAAACAAAAAGTGAAGAACACGAGAAGGTCTGGTGGTGAAAAAAAAACAATGATTGTTGTTTTTGTTGCAAGATTTGGGCCGACCACGGGTCCAGGTGGGATGGTTGGAGTTGGAGTTTGACCTCGTCAAACGAATTCTTTTCTTGCAAATGCCTTGGATGGGGATGGCTTCATGACACCCTGCTAGAAAGGCAGACTACATGTATTGCCCCGCACCAATTTTCTGTATCATCCCATTGGGGCAAGTTGTAGTGTACTGAGGAGCGAGAGCATTGCTGGTTTGAGTTTAGAAATGTTTGGCCAGGACAGCCGTACAAGTACTTTCATCATCTTGCATCCACCCAGACACCAGTGTTGGAATTGTCTATGAAGATTCTCCCATCCGCTGGTCTCTAGCTTCTTGTGCTCCAGACGCTCCTGGGGAGCCTCACACATTGGAATACATTGGAGGGATCGTTTGGGTCTCAAAAATCCCTATTTTTGTTGACTAGCTTCTATATACAGCTACTAAAATTGGTAGTAATGCCCTTGGTATTGATGCCCTTGTTCCTAGTGGCTTCTAGCTACTAGGAGGGGGCATATGGTTTCTCCCCCTGTCCCATCTCTTTCCCCTACAAAGCACCCCCGGTGGTGCTTTGTGCCGTTCCGACGACCTCCACGCCGCCTGCACGCCGCCGAGGTACGTGGCCAAGGGCCGTGTGGCTCGACGGCCGATGCTGAGAGTCCTAGCCGCCCATCTCCGTCGTGCCGCCCAACGCCACGGAAAAGGGAAGCTTTGCGCGGCTGAGCTGCAGAGTTCTTAGCTCGAAGTGAGCTCTACTTCAGTGCGTAGGGTGGGCTCCAGTTCTACTGCAATCCACTTGGACTTCCTACCTCGCAAGAACGGTAATTAGTTGTAAACCCTCTACGGAACCTAGTGAAGTGGTGACCTGCACAAAACGGTGACCTGCACACGTGCCCAATGACAGTCATCCTGATGTACCTAGGTGCTGGCATGGATGTTGATCCCAATCTACATGATCATCGTCTTGTGCGGCTCCCTCTTGGGATCTTTCCCCAGGCGCGATCTCTTCGTCTCGTCCGATGTCCGTCCGGGGCTCGCAGTACCCGGTAGCACTTCCTGTCTGGGTGCCCTGTCTGGAGACCTGTAAGTAGGGTAGGGTAGTCTATTGGACACCCATTGGACGATCCTGGATGATTTCAGAACCTGAGATTCCGTGAAAACAATACGTGAGCTCCTGAATTCATCATTTTCTCCTGCCATGGATTTCTGGAAGGTTTCTCTGGGCAGAAGTTGGACATGTATCTCATCCTCTCCCTCTTCAGGATCTCTCAGAGCATGACCTGGCTTGCCATGGTCTTGGCCTTGCTCTCCTGTAGCCTCTTGGCTCCTTGGTTCCAGCACGAGTCAAACGAGTCAACACGTGACACCTGGCCCAGCCTCGTCCGACCTGTTCAAGTGAACTGGGGATGGGTCAAAACCTGGAGGTTTGGTCCACCATGCAGCTTGATCTTCCAGGTGGGTCATGTTTTGACCCACAGCCAACTATAGTAGGCAGACGTCTTGAAAACGGACTTTTTGGAACAGAGTTCGGTGGAAAGTGCTTGCGATGCTTCCTGCTGGGATACGTACCATAATTATTGACAGGTACATATAGGTGCCCCTCCATAGTGCAACCAAACACCACTGTGAAAAATACTTTCAGACCACCCAGAAACAGATGACCAGTCTCAAAGAACCCCCTGGACACGATCGAAACCTTGATCATCTCTTTGATTGAAACAAAAAGGGACCATCCCAACAGATCTACAAATCCAACCTTTTTCGCCGGCGAAGCACTTTGGTGAGGTTGTCAGGCTTAGTCGCTTCATTTCTTTGGGGTCTGAGTAGCAGTTAAGGTGATGTTAACGGGGCCAGAGCCGGTTTGAGGGTCAGGCAGGTGGTGTGTTGCGTTCGTTTTTGGGGTATTTTTGGGTCCTTGTTTGGCCGAATGTGCGGAATAGTTTCTGTATCACAAGGTTTACAGGATCCGGAGTTTCTTAAAAGGCTATCGGCTATTGCCGGGTGTGCATCTAGCTGCACCATGTCACCATGTTTCAGGCCACATCAAAAGTCTGAGTGACTCAGCTTCCAGAACATACACGATACTACTCGATGTGTAAAGCGGCCAGAGGTCCACTCCTAAATCGGGCTTTCAATCTCAGGTGCTCCTACACCGGCGGAATGACTTCGTAGAGGCTCCAGATGGCTTCCTAGAGGCGCCAGACGGCTTCGTGGGGGAACTTGCTGCAAGTGGGTTCATGAAATTATGACCAACTCCAACGGGACACGAGAGCCGATGAAGGATGTGAGTTGGGAGTCCAGTAAGAAAGCTGGGAGGTCAAGCGCTGTTGGGTGCCAATGATGGAAACTACATATTTATGAACATGGATTCAGACTAGAAAGACGAATATCATCAAATATCTATTCCTGGTGCCGAACAATTAGAGCAACATCATCTTTGCAACTTTCCAGTGCCCTGCAGGACCTGGGTGAGTCCCTAATAAGAGGTTCCCAACTGCTTACCCGACATTCTACAGTTCCCAGACACTCCCTGTACTGCATTTACTCCATTGAGGTGGGTTGCAGAGGTCAATTTGCATATGCCAGACGCATAGATGGTCTAGGATTTGTAGCATGTATGACCTATGTACTCCCAAATGCTTCGGCACCGGCTCTAGGATTCGGGTGCCTCCGCTGATGCGTCACCTGCTGCGATCAGCACAGCGGATGTGCGAGGGGCCTTGGACTGTGCGCCTCGGCCGACCAGCCGAATGAGACATGTCAGCCGAAAACGCAGGGGCGGGGGTTGTGCAGGGATGTGATGATGTGGTGGGCCTGGTGATGAAAGCAATCGAAATAGATAGTGAACTGAGAAGTGAAAAGCTTCCTGAAGTTGTTCCATGGTTTCTTCATTTTACTTCTAGTATTGCCCCATGCTCTTGAAGGAGTCCAACTTGGTTTGTTGATCTCCGTCAGTCTGCCTGAGGTGCCCACAATCATTTGCATCAATGCTGCTTGGCAGGAGGATTGTCAAAAGGAGGCTGGGGGAGTTGTTCCATCATGTTCCATGTTATCTTTTTCTAAACCAAGCCCAAAAACACCCACACACGCATAACTTTGAGATCTGTCTTGTGTCTATCCCATGTCTTTCCCGGGTGAGGACAGGTTGTATTGTGGGATGATTCGGAGGATTTTGTCGCCGAGTGAGGGGAGGGATCGCAGCATGGAGAGCGTTGGCAGCTCTTGTCCCGTGCTTCGTCAGAGGAAAGAGAAAACCCTGTCTCATTCGATACAGGATACGCATGTACCAGGCACAGCACGCAAGGGTTCCATTCTTCCCACGGTATGCCGAAGGAGATGGTCATCAAACCTTTCGTGCCATGGTGAACCCAAGACCTCTTGCTGTGACGAGGGAGCTGGAGAAGGCAGGGAGCTGGAGAATCCCACTGAAGGAGGAGTCAATTGGTGCACCAATTTACGAATCTGTGCTCGTGACTTCATCGCTCTTGAAAGGCCACCAGGAATGGCAAAAACGGAGGAAAGACCAGCATTCAAGAGGTTTTTCCCGCCGTCTTGAGTCTCCGCTTTAGAATGAAGAGCAAGGCATGATGAGCTAACCTGCATGATGAGAAGGGGCTTCACTCGGCACCAATCTTTGAAAACTCATCAGAGAGCCGTATCAGACCCAAATGGCAGAGATCGCGCTCACAGTTCCTGACGAAAGCTCAATGATGATTAAGAAGCGAGCATGGGAGGCTTTCTTTTTCGTGTCCATGGTCACCCCAATAAACATGTTCCCACTTCACCTTTGCCGGCTTCACTTGAGCTTGTGATGTTGGCATTCAGATGGACAGGCCAAACCAACAAGAACACTCGTTCTCGAGGTAAGGGACATGGCGCGGCCAAAGCTTCACCCCATGGCCATCGACTAGTTGGACTAGTGATGCACCTGGAGCCACACTTCTTGAAATAGGAAGTAGATGGCCATACATTGGGTGTGTCCGCACTTAGCTGTAGTCTTGGCCTTCACTAACCATCATCCACTGGGTCGTGGTAGATAAGCCATGTGTGCGCTGAATGAGATGGCACACCCTCGCCTTTGTGAGCTGCGTTTGCGCTCGCGTGCACATTGGAACCGTCTGCTGCATTTGCTCATGTTGCGTCCTCTTAATCTGTGTGACTCATCCTTTTCTGCCAGTTTCATTTTGAGGATGATGCATGGACATGACATTGCGTTCTTCCTTCAAGTCGCTGGCTGTGGCTGTGTGTGTATTTTCCTTCATGGCAACATACCATGAGGTTTAGGGCATGATTTCCTGAGCGCTCGGGTTTTGGCTGTACAGCGAACGCTGCCACTAGTCATTTCCTGATGTTTAGCTTCCAGCGTTTCACGATCATCCCGCTCGCTTTATCTTTTGCTCGAATTGTTTCTTCCCCCTGGCCCTTTGTTCAGTTTCTTCCTTGCCTTCCACATGTCAATCATCGTGGATCAGACCAACTCAAGGTTGGCTTCAACATCCTGTACAACGCGATGAACAACGCCTACCCAGCTCAGGCAGGATTCGGCGTCCGCGCACATCCGGTGGCACCCTGGAGCCCCAGAAAGCGGAAACACCAGGGAGTTCAGGTGGTTTAGAGGCACCGCTGATGAGTATGTGTTTCCTTCCATAAGTACCTGAACGGTGCTGGAATTCTGTTCGCCAAACTCTATAACTTTTGCTTAGCCGCCAAGCTGCCCAGTGCTCAGCCAGGCATGTCAGATGGACACCCGTTTGTTTGGCGAGCAGCTCAATGGAAGCTTCTTCAGCTTAGGCGACGCCTTTGGCAACTCGACAGATCATTGCAACGTGTTCCGCTTCATTCGTCGTTCTTGTTCCGGGGGAAGGGAAATGGTGGAATCGTGCGGAGGGAGTGAAGGATAGAGATGTGGATGAGCTTCTTTTGAT